AGGAAGTAGAGTGTTGCTGCTTGAAACCAAACTGTCTCTTTTTGTTATGAAAAGTTTTTTAATTATTAAATATGTAAATGCCATATTCCCTAGATCTCTGAGCAGTTGAGGGATGTTTATTAGGTACAGCTACAATATAGAATTGACTTGGAGAGTGGGGTCCAAGCTTAACTGTACTCGCTCTTAACTTAACAGGTAAGAGTTACACTTATAAAAAGAGAGAAAGAAGAAAAAACTGCTGGCAATAGAAGGTTTATGGGAGAACTAACAATAGTATAGAACATCTTAATATATTTTAAATGAGGGTTGGATTAAATATAAAGTATTTTTGTAAGAGACATAAAAGTAGGTACAAGTTTAAAACATGAGACTTATTGTTTTGTAGTCTGGAATGAGATGCAATGAACAGACAATTGTAACACTTAACAGTAAACATAAGTGCATGTTTAAGTTACATGTATGAACACACACACACAGACAGTGAATAGGAATTGGGTGAAGTGGATGCTCTTGGTGGACCCAACCAAAAGCATGCCACTACACAAAACACACATGCAAGAGATTCAACTAGAAGAATTTAGAGACAAAAACATAAGTAAACCTGGGGACCAGGCAGGGTATACTTCAGTAAAGATGGCAACAGTCACATGTTGTATGAAAAGCCACTAAGTTAAGATGGCAGTGAAATCACCTGACCTCAGTTAAGGTAGTGGTAAGGTAGTCTGACCTCAATCAAAATGGCTGCAGTCACAGTTATATGGAAAAACAGGGAATTTAATAATAAGAGAGTCCTAGAGGTGTGATCTGTCCTGTGGCCGAGATGCCATGCCATGCCACAAGCTGCAGAGGGGAGCAAAAGGCTGCAACTGAAAAAAGCCATCTTGTGGATCTGACCAACCTTGTTGGCAGCAGTAGTGGCAGGGACAGTTTGAGGAAACTCCTTTCATCTGCCTGTGCACTGACAGTAGCTAGAAAGCTCCCATTGACAGTATTTAGAAAGCTCCTGTAAAAATGGAGCCAGCGGGACACCAGCAGAGTGGGGTACATGAAGAAGTATGGCATTAAGGACTGTGGTTTTATGCCCTCTAAAAGACACCCATCCCAGGTAGGATGGACCGGCATGGCTTGCTACCCATAGCTGAAACCGTGAAAAACCACAAAACAATGACACCACAGGTACACAGTGAGACATCTCTCGACTGTGGGTGGGGTGTGAATCAGTGCTACCGGACCAAGGGGAGGGCATCCCCTGGCCATGAGTGGTATACAGTAAGGCCTGGCTGGATCTGGTCAAGATTATTTGGAACCCAGAAAGGGAAGAGACCACTCCAAGCAGCCTTTCATGGTGAGGGGAAAAAAAGGAAAAGAAAAGAATAGAATAGGAAAGAAAAGAAAAAAGAGAAAGAAGAATCTTAGGGACCCTGGGCCCCCAGTCATGGGTGGATCAGCCCGTGCCATTCCAAACACAATTTTAGCAAAGGGAAGCAATCCAGAGATGAATATCAGCTGACCAGAATGGGGGAAACTCACCAATTGTAGCTGGTGGTGTGCATAGAAATCACACTGTAGAAATCATCCTCAGGCTTATGGAACACATGGATGTTGTGCAAAAAATAATACCTGGTTCTGGATCCTAACCCTGGGAGAGGAGGTTGGGGCAGGGGAGCATCCCAAGTCTCATGGCGCCAATGTAATGAATTAATTTTAAAATGTGCAAATCCTGAGTAGCCGCAGTGGGCAGAGACCATGCCACAGGTCCTCAAGCAGGGACATGCAGTGGGCCCCAGAGCAGCCAGTACCAGGCAGCAACAGCACACGAGACCATGTCACAGGTCTCTGAAGGCAGCTGGTCCCAGGTGATGGGCAAGAGATGGATAGGCATGCCATGTAGAATGAGGTTGGATATTTATTTGGTGGGTTATGAAAGGAATATCAGAAAATGCAATGCTCTTCCATGCTCTTGGATAGGTAGGATCAACAGAATAAAAATGGTGATTCTATAAATAGAAATCTACATATTCAATGCAATCCCCATCAAAAACTAAACACAATCCTTTGAAGACCTTGAAAGAACAACTTCATATTAAAAAAAAAAACCAGGATATTCAAAACCTCTAAAAATTACTTAGCCCAAGAAAAAGTGGGAAGCAGTTTGCACAGAACTATGTGCAAATTCCCAAATATTGATTATAAATGTTTGTTTACCTTTAAAGGGGGATATGATATAGAGATCAATATTTTGCATTGTCATAGATCTTAGTATATTGATACAAATTTAAGGTCAATTTTGTTATATGTATATTTTGCTTTTGATTAAGGTATTATGTTTGCAAAGCTCATTTAAAAATGTAATGTATAATTCAGAAATACAGGTTAATAGATAATCATCTATAAAAGTCAAGCTTGTCATGTCACATTTTCTAGATGTACAGATATATTTCAAATGAATAGTTATTCTTCAAACCTTTCAAAGACTATAGAATATGGCAATTAAAATGTTTTAAAAACTTAGACTTTTCATGACAATGAGACACATCTGCTTCTGGAAGTACCAATAACTTGAAGCGGAAGATGGGCATTGAAGTGGCTCCTTATGGAATTTGCTACCAATTTGGGAAAATAATTGGTCTTGAATGGACTGCTTAATGGTATGCTGTGTGAACTGGACATACTTGACCCACAGAAAAATGACTGGTAAACTTGCCTAAAGGTGAGATAGTCTTTTGGGTTTCCTGTTTCATGAAAGAATCTGCCAGACAATCTGCAGGACACAGAAGAAAGTGACTGAAAAACTACCAATATTAGTGAAACTGTCTTTGAAATTTCATGCTTCATGAAAGGTCTGCTAGATAATATTGGCCTATAGACTGAATATGGATGTTCCCATGATACAGAAGAACTTTGGCAATGAGATGTCTCTGTCAATTCTAGAGTTTTGGAAGTTCTTTACAATGCAATTTCTGTTTACTTAGGTAATATTATATAATTCTGGAGTCTTTGATAAAGTTGAAGAATAAATAGTTGTAGTTTTCTTTAGTTATGATAAAAGAGTAGACACAAATATTGTGACTGTAATTCTTGGTCGATGTCTGTCTTGTAATATTTAATTTTATTATATTAAAGTTAAAACCTTCCTTTTTATTTAGACAGAAAAGGGGAGATGATGTGGGAAGTCCTTCTGTATATGTGTTAATTTTATTAGTTAATGAATAAAGAAACTGCTTTGAGCCTATAGCATGGCAGAACAGAAATAGGAGAGAAAAACTAAACTGAATTCTTGGAGAAAGAAGGCAGAGTCAGGGAGATGCCATGTAGCTTCCACCAGGGACAGACAAGATAGAACCTCGCCAATAAGTCACAGCCACATGGAAATGCACAAATTTTAAAAAATGGATTAAATTCAGATGTAAGAGCTAGCCAATAAGAAGTAAGAGCCAATAGGCCAAGCAGTGATTTAATAAATATAGATTCTGTGTGGTTATTTTGAAGCTGAGCAGCTGGAAATAAACAAGCAAACACCCACTACAGAGGGTAGAGAGAAAGTTCATCAAAATATTGAAAATATAACTGACATACCATATCCCATCATATTTCTGAATGTATGTCATAAGGAAATAAACATGGCATACAAAATGGACTTGATTAGGCATTTATTACAGAAATTCCAGTTTTCAACATATGAAAGCAGCTGTGGCATCTATCACATATATATACACACAGAGAGAGAAAAAGAGACAGAAAGACAAAGACAGAGACAGTGAAACAGATAGAAACAGGAAGACTGAAAATAGAACAGATATCATGAAAGACTGGACAATTTGTAAGGATGGAAGAGTGGAGCAGGTAAAAGAGAGTGGAAGGTGAGTGGACAGGATAAATGTGTGACATATGAATGAATAAAATTACAGTGAAACTCATTAACTTGTAGGAATAACACTTATTAAAAATATAATTAAATAATAATATTTATGAGTGATAGAAGCCTTTCATTTATGGAGAAGTTTAGTAATCAGAAACTATAGTATTTCAAGAAAACAAAATTCTAAGTTTCTGGAAAATTTTGCAATTATTTCATGCATAAAACCTACAGAGGTGTTACTACTAGTTCAGCAAAATAAATGTTTCTTACTCAATAATTTTTGAAAAGATATTTGTAAGACTTAGAGAGAGTCAATATTCTTCCTTAATATTTTATGTTTTATACTTTTGCAATGTGAATGAAATAAAGTAAATTATTTCTATCTAAACTTTTGTTTAAAGGGAGTTTCATACACCTGTATTCCCAAATTCTTTCAAATATCAAATTATGAAATGTGAATACAAAGTAACAAAATTGTACATAGAAAAGGATCTAATATTATGTTTGTCTTTCATATGGAAAATTTCAGAAAGACTTTAAAGTTCATGAAAAGGAAGTGCATCAGAAAAGTCACTGCCACAGAAAGCTAATAATACCATGGAATGAACTGTAAGAAAAACAATGCAGGATGAATTAGCAAAGGCATTTTAATAATTTTGCTATTATTGGAGATATAAGAAAAAAGTGGTATTTTCATGTACAAGATTATGGATAATGAAGAGAACTCAAATCAAATGGTTGTACATCTGAATAGGTGAAAGGATTTGGGCAGAAATTATGGAATATACCAAAAAATCTCAAACATGTGATATATTTTCATTGAAAATATGAATTATATAATTATTACTTAACAGAGAAAATGCCTCAAAATACTGAGTCAATTGAAGAATAAAATCTGAAGGGACAGATAATCTTGGTTTTTGTTAAAGCTGTAAAAGAAACACGAGGAATTATATAAGAAACATAACACAAAGTAAAGTAAATTTTGCATATGCAGCTTGAACAAATTTTATAGAGACCATTAATTGGAGAATATATGAAAATTATATTACAAGCACTAAACAATAACATTTATTTTTCAATAAAATTTCCTGATGAGTCTTTATTTATTTTGCTGTAAGTTTGTAATAAATGGAGTTACCTGCTATGGTGACCAGGAGTGATGATCCCATGTATGCATAAAATGCTTGAAGAATGGCTTCTACAATCTCTGAGGCAACAGGAAGATCAGCATCCAAAGCATTCTCAAACCTGGACACATTCTCTTTTTTCCCAGTCACTAACAGCACAATCCCAGTTAGAATAATGAGACAAAGAACACCCATCTTCAACAAATTGCTGATGCTATTAAACCAAAACACATTAGTTAGCCCTCGAGTATTGAGAATTCCAACTGACCACAAAATAGCCAAAGCCAGACATTTCTTTGGTAGTTCTGGGGCTGGGCAGCCAACATAGAAAGGTTGTAATAGATAACTGGCTATTAGTAAGCCTTGAGCACCCAATCCTAGGGAATAACCAAAAAGTTTAATCCAGAGACTACAGAAAGCAAAAGAAGATCCAAGAGATCTTTTCAGGAAATAATAAGGTGCTGAGCTCACAGGGAAGGTTGTCCCCAGCTCTGCAAGACAGAGAGCACACATCATGCTCAATAGGGCACAAACTGCCCAAATGCTCAGACAAACAGGGATGTTCAATGAGGAGAATTTTAACACCCCTTTAGGAGCAACAAAAATCCCTGCCCCTATCACTGAACTAAATAAAAACATGTATCCATGGAAGAATCCTATTGCCCTTAAAAGCTGCATGGTTTTGTCTTTTTTAGTTTTTAAAATTCTGAGCAACTGACATTAAATCACACTGAAGTTGTTCCCCCAACTCTTTCAGAGCTCTCTCAAATAGGGCATTCTCAAAATGAGCAGCTTCATCCTTACACAATATTTTTATTTCTGAGTTTAACATGGATTTGCAAATAATTAACTTGTGCAATATTCTAGGATTTGATGGATTCTTCCTAAAACCACAGTTAAGACATATCATGTGTAAATGATTTTTTAAAGTCAGAATCCTAATTAAGACAGCATTTTGAAGTGATTTATTAACTCTTTCTGGGTGATGTTGGCACATGCCTTTAATCCCAGCACTTGGGAGGCAAAGGCAAGCGGATCTCTTTGAGTTTGAAGCCAGCCTGTTCTACAAGAGATAGTTCCAGGACAAATACCAAAACTTCACAGAGAAACCCTGTCTTGAAAAAAAACAAAAAGTAAATATATTAACAAAGATTTTTATTTTGTAAAATAATGTTATTTATCTACATTAAGATTGTGACCCTTAAAACTATAATTCTTGAAGGAAAAGCCAGATTTAAACAAAACAATACCTTTTCACAAACCAAGGCCCACAGAAAGCACTAGAGAGAAAATCCATCCCAAGAAAGTTATCTATAACCCATGAAAGCATGGGCAGTAGATAATCTTACACCAGGAAATCCTAAAGAAGGGAAACATACACACACACACACACACACACACACACACACACACACACACACACTACTTCCAAAACATAAAACCATAATTAACAGTTATTAGTCTTTAATATCCCTTAATGTTAATGGACTCATCTCATCTATAAAATAACATGGGCTAGCGATGGGAAGGAAAACAAGAGCCATCGTTCTGCTACATACAAAAAACAAGCCTCAACTTCAATGACAGATATTTCCTCGGTGTAAAGGGTTTGAAAAAGATTCAAATGGGATAAGAAAGAAATCTGTTTTAGTTATCCTAATATCCTAATTATCTAACAAAATAGACTTCAAACTGAAGCTAATCAAAAGAGATGAAGAAGGCTATTTTGTATTCACCACAGGAAAAATCTATCAAAATGAAGTACCAATCCTGAACACTAATGTCCAAATTAAAAAAGGGAACCCACATTTGTTAAATAATCATTACCAAACATAAACCACAAATAAAACCCTACACATTCAGAGCCTGAGTTTTTTAACACCCCCTTCTCATCAATGAACAGGTCTGCCAGGCATAAATTAACAGAGAAACAGGGAACTAACAGGTATTATGGCTCAAATGGAATTAACAGACATCTATAAAACATTCTACACAAACACAAAAGAATAAACCTCAGCACTTCAGAAAACCTCTAAAACTGACCACATACCCTATTACAAAGCAAATCTCAACAGATACAAAAATAATTGGAATAAATCCCTGTATTTTATCAGATCACCATGGCTTTATTTAATTTAACAACAATGCAAATTTTGAACAGCTTAAAATCTCAAGGAAACTGAATAATACTCAACTGACTCAACTTGACCTATGGGTCAAGGAGGAAATGAAGGAAGAAATTAAAGATTTCCTAGAATTCAATGAAAATAAAGTTACAACATATCCAAACCTATGGGGCATTATGAAAACAGTACCAAGAGGAAATTTCATAACACTAAATGCCTCCATAAAGAAGTTGAAGAAATTTCACACTAGTGAATTAGCAGAGCACTAGAAAGTTCTAGAACAAAAAGAAGCAAACTCAACCACATGTTGATGCACCAATGTGGGCTGACTACATCTGAGAGAGCTTAAGAAGATATTCTAGACAAAACAAAAGAGTTTAGCACAGGTTCTTGGTAGCCACATATTTTGATGGGCTCTTTTCCTGGGGGGTTGTGAACAACATATTACAAATGGCTTAATGGCATGACATAGACATGCTGCATACCAAGAACAGGTATATACAGGTTACTGAGGCCGTTAACATTCCTTGGCCATGTTGAACTGGGCAGAGTCAAAAGGCAAAACAGCCTTAGTCATATCCGTGGTGTTTAGCATTTTAAAAAACAGTTCTGGTCAGAAAAAGATTACAAATACACAATAAAGACAGATGTAAAAAAAAAATCTCTAAATGGGTTGCAGTGTTGAATATATGTATATTTGTAAGTATGAGAGAAAGAAGAAAGAGAATATAGAAAAATAAAAGAAAGTCTTTAAAGAGACAGAGTACAGACAGTCATAAATTAAAGGAGCAAAAAAAGCCACATAAAGATGGAATATAAAAAGAGAGTTGGGATTATATATATATACTTGTGTTTTATTTGAATTTTTTGACTGTGAATGAGCTAAGTATAGAGAGACATTTCATTGTATAGACTGCTAAACTAACATATATATTTTAAAGGTATCTTGACTTCAAAATTTAAGTCTAAGGATATGCAGTTTGGAAAAGAAGTTCTGCTTTTGTTTCCATATAGGATGAAAACCTGTGAATTACTTTCAGACTACTGTGGTTTGATGTACCAAGATCCCCTCAAAAGTCTCTGTGAATCATGAAATTACTTCACCCAACAAAAAGTAGAAAACAGTTTGGAGAGAACTATGCCCAAATTAGAAAATGTTGTTTATAAATGTTTGTTTAAATGTTTGTTTGCATTTAAAGAGGAATATGATATAGAGATAAATAATTTGCATTGTTATGGATCTTGATTTATTGATACAAATTTAAGGTCATTTTTATTATATGTATATTTCTGCTTTTGATTAAGGTATTTCATTTGTTCAGTTCATCTAAAAATGTAAAGCATGTTTAAGAAATACAGGTTAATATATCTATAATAGTCAAGCTTGTAGTCCTTTAGTTTTGTTTCTAGATGTAGAGAGATATATTTCTGATGGATAGGTATTCTTCAAACCTTTCAAAGACTAAAAGAATATGGCATTTTAAATGTTTTAAGAACTTAGGACCTTTCATGACAATGAAACACATCTGCTCCTAGAAGCAACAATCTACTTCAAGAGGATGATGGGCATCCAATAGGCTTTTTATGGAATTGGTTAACTATTTGGGCAAAAAAAAAAAAAAAACTGCTCTTGTGTATACTGCTTGATGGTATCCTTCATGAACTGGACATACAAGACCCACAGAAAAATGACTTCTGAAGTTGCCTAAAGAAGGTGAGATAGTCCTTCAGGGTTCCTGTTTTATGAAAGAATCTGTCACACATTCTGTAGGACACAGAAGAAAGTGACTGAAAAAGTGCCAATATAGACAGAACTGTCTGAAATTTTCTGCTTCATGGAAAAGTCTGCAGATACTATGGGCCAGTAGGTTGAAGATTGATGCTCCAATGTTACAGAAGAACTTTGAATGACTGTCTAGGCAGTGAGATGTCTCTGTCAAATTTAGAGTTGTGGAAGTTTCTTACAATGAAGTTCCTTTTTTAATTAATAATAAAAATTTCCACCTCCTCCCATTCTCCCATTTCTCTCTTCCTCCTCCCTCCCCCTCCCCTTCCCACTCCCCCTTCCCCTCCCCCTCCCTCTCCAGTCCTAAGAGAAGTCAGGGTGCCCTGCTCTGTGGGAAGTCCAAGTCCAAGGCCCTGCCCACTCCATCCAGGTCTAGGAAGGTGTGCATCCAAACAGACTAGGCTCCCAAGAAACCGGTACATGCAGTAGAATCAAAACTCGGTGTCATTATCATTGGCTTCTCAGTCAGTCCTCATTGTCAGCCACATTCAGAGAGTTCAGTTTGATCACATGCTCGTTCAGTCCCAGTCCAGCTTGCCTTGGTGAGCTCCCATTAGATCAGTCCCACCGTCTCCGTGGGTGGATGCACCCCTTGTGGTCCTGACTTTCTTGCTCATGTTCTCCCTCCTTCTGCTATTCATTTGGACCAGTGTTCCAATGTGAGTCTCTGTCTCTAGCTCCATCCATCGCCAGATGAAGGTTCTATGGTCATATGCAAGATATTCATCAGTGTGGCTATGGGAGAAGGCCAGTACAGGTACCCACTCCTCTGCTGCCCAAGCATCTAGCTGGGGAAATCCCCTTGGATACCTGAAAAACCCTCTAGAGCCAAGTCTCTTGTCAATCCTAAGATGGCTCCCTTAATTAAGATATCTTCTTCCCTGCTCCCATATCCATCCTTCCTCCATCTCAACATCCCATTCCCCCAAGTTCTCCCCATCCTCCCCTTTTTTGTTCTCTCTCCCCATCTCCCCTTTCTCCAACTCCACCCCCACCCCCGTGTTCCCAACTTTTGCCCAGCAATCTTGTCTACTTCCAATATCCAAGAGGATAAATATATGTTTTTCTTTGGGTTCACCTTCTTATTTAGCTTCTCTAAGATTATGAATTATAGGCTCAATGTCCTTTGTTTATGGCTAGAATGTATTTCCTTTTAACTTATATAATATTATATCCTTCTGGGATCTTGAGGGACATGAAGAATAGATAATTATAGTTTCTCTTAGTTCTGATAAAAGATAAAATAGATATAAATATTATAACTCTAATTCTTGCTTGATACCTATTTTGTTATATGTAATCTTGCTATGTTAAAGTTAAAACCTTTCTTTTTATATAAACAGAAAAGATGAGGCTATATGGGATTCCCGTCTCTATACTGTAAATATTATTGGTTAATAAAGAAATTGCTTTGGGCCTATGGTGGCACAAAAAAAAGGGCAAGGCAGGAAATCCAAACAGATAGAGGAGGAGAGAGTAGGCAGAGTAAAAGAGACACATGTAGCTGCCAAAAAAAAAAAAACAGATGTTGGAACTTTACCCAGTAAGCCACAGCCATGTGGTGGTACACAGACAAATGCAGTAATTTAAGGTATGAGTTTGCCAGGAATATGCCTAAGCTAATAGGCCAAGGGTATCTTAATTAATTCATTTTCTGTGTGAATATTTCTGGTCTGGGCAGCAAGAAAATGAACAAAGAGCTTCTGGCAACAAGATGTATTTGCCAGAAAATAATCAAATTCAGGGTTGAAATCAATAAATATAAA